GAACAAAGAAATCCTATTCTGTTTCCAAGGGGGATAAAAAGACGAGCCTAACCCTGGTAACCTTAACACAAAAGGAAGCTAAAAAGGCAGGGACTCGATAAGAACAAAGGATTGTTCTTTCTGATGGCATCAATACATATTAAACACGATGTGTTACACATCCTTCTATCAATATCTGAGATGATAAATCTGCAAATTAATACTACATTGGCCATAACTGCATAAAATTACAATAGCACGCTCTTTAGAAGAGATTTTGATTTATATAATGGTAGTAACTTTTATGTGTTTAATGTTTCTGAAATTAAAGGAGGAGATGAGCCACTGTGAGCAAGCAGAATACAACGTATGAGAAATAATTACGCTTGTGACCTCATGCCCTATAAGGTCACTCTGCATCACAGGCCAAAGGAAATCAGGAACCATCAGCATTTACCTCAAGAGTAGTCACTGCCTGGAATGAAGGCAAGTGTGGGTATATTTCATAAACTAGCAGGTGCTTGACCTCATAAAAAAGTCAATTATCAAAATGCTACATGTAGAATGTCACAAATAAGAAATATAAAAAATTGGGTTCTGCAAAGTATCTTACCTTCAAAATAAATCTGAGACAACTTATAACATTTCATCTTCATCCAAATTGTAATACAATAGTTTCACAAAATAACACTAATCCTTCCTTAGTAAGAAAAATCAATAGAATTTTTAAAAAGCATTTTGGAACATAAAAGTGATTACAAATACATGCTAAAGAGTGACAACTCAGAAAATATTTCCAATAGTTATGTAAGTCACTGTCATAAGAATGTATGCAGTATTTATAATTCTAGTCCTTGTTATCATTTGAGTAAGAATCGCAACGCATTATCCTCTAATTTTCTATCAGAAATTAGGTATCAAATTTTACATACCCACAGCATTTGTGAGGGATAAAATAATGTTTCCTAACTGGTTCAATGACAGAGTTCCTTGACCTGTAGCAAAACTCTCCTATCACTCAATTAGGACTTGGTATTTATGAAAATTTGTGAACTGGCTTTTCAGTTAAAGCAAGCTACTGCTCCTTTTTCGTCCCCAGTGATTTCCCGTCTACTGCCAGAATCCCTGTGTGATATAAATTAAAAGTGAATTCTGAGATACCGACAATAAAGAGAACAAAACTACAGAAACCAGTATAGGGAAGGAAAAGGGACAGCAGCTACATTCACTACATGTATTATGTACTGTGCTGATGCTCTACAGAAAGTTTCTCCTCTAATGCTCTCAAGAGTCCTAAGAAAATTCTAGCTCATTGCTTGACTCAGGCTCGCAGACAAACCTACAAAAGCTTTTTACTGCATAATGCACCTAAATAAAATTCCATAAGATCCAAGTCAGTATGACCAGTTGACTTCAGTTGTCATCTTAGTCCCAGCTCTATCACTTGCTGACTGTGAAGTCAGAGAAAGTTACTACCCACTGTAAAAGCTCAGACTCCAGATCTCTAAAATGAAGGGCTATCACAGTCCATCAGCCCAGAATGAGATTCTGCACTTCAGGTAAAAGCATTTTCTGAGTGTCAGAAAATTATCTGACAGAGGGACTCAGACCAAGCTCAGTCATAAGTTAGGAGCTGCCAATATTGCTTAGGCAATTAGCATATATTTTTAAATGCTTGGGATGATTAAATTATAAGAAAATATCTGATGAATGGTGATTTTACCAACTATATTGCTTAATATTTTACTTACTTTAGTGATTAAGAAGATTCCTGTCCCAGAAATATGTTTTAAATTTCTAAAACAATGCTTTATGCTGTAACTTGCTACAATAATCATCCCCTCAAACATTAACGACAATAGTAGAAGCGATTTCACTACAAGCACGTTGATGGCAGGTGTGGGCTGTTCACCAGCTGCCTCCATAACCTTTTGATCCCTTCGGACAGCAAATCTGTTCAACAGCCCTATGTGGTCATTCCTCATTTGTTGTATGCTTTCTTCTCCTTTCACACGTTCAGAATGCCTATTCCTTTAGCTTGACATCCTTTTATTAAAATAGAAAGCTCCCAGGAAAGCAAACTAAAACTAATTTTACACTCAGTCAATGTAAAAGTTCCAGAATACATTAATACATTATATTAAGAGTTGTTAGTGTGAGATATTTTAGTTACATATAGAACATACGTTTGTTTATTTTTTGGCCAAAAATACAATTACAGTAAGTGACAAGATTAAAATTTTAAGTAAACCAGCACTAAGTTAATTTATAAAGTACTCCAGGACCCTAAATTAAATACCAAGGACTTTAATTACACAAACGTAGAAGTTTAAAGTTGACCTCAGAACAACCTAGTTGATGATTATTTAAACAATGATGAGAAATATCGAGAGTAATTTTCTTATAGTTATGTTTCTGCTCCATTTTGTTGTTAAATTGAAGACAGCTAGAAATGGCACTGTCTGAAAGCAGGACTAGTTAAGCCAAATATCCACTCATTCCTCCACCCTCAATCCCATAAAAGATCTAAGGATGCTGGAGGAAGCAAGATAGAATAAATCGTGGTTAAGAGAATCAGTCGTAGTCTGACAGTCACTTAGTAACTGAGGGACCTTCAGAAAATTCTTTACTCTCTCTTGGCCTCAATTAACCCATCTGGGGGAAAAAAAAGCAGGAGGTGGTAGTGACAACAGTACCTACTTCACAGGGTTATTACAATAGTTTAATGAAATAACACAGACCAGGCCCTTAGCAAACAAAAGCCTGACACAGAGAAAGTGTTCAGTTAATGGTAGGTACTGTCATTATTTTACTTATACTGTATCCTCTGTGGACCCACTAACAGACCTCTAGTTTAGCAACATATACACTTTTATCATTGCTTCAGGGAGTAATTTGTGGCCATATTATGCATCTACCTGTAGCTAATTCACTCTCTTCTTTCCAGGAAAAAAAGTTAAATGGCATCTACCACCATTGCTAATGGCACTTCTCCTCCCAAACGGTCAAGAATACAATGCTGTACTAATCTTTGGTGTTTTTCTTAGACCTTTGCATGTAATCTATAACCAAGGCCTAGAATTATCTTTTAATCTAGCCTATCTACATTCAGATCTGGGTCCCACATGCCCTTCTGTAACAGCCTCCCAGCTACTTATTCTACTTTAATCCATTCTCCCACTCTACACTAGTCCATCTAAACAAAGATGTCTTGAAAATGTTTCTCCATATTCCCATAACAGCATTCTCCTCTTAAAAGACTCTCTAGTGATTTGCTATTTAGTTTCATCTTCAATCTACTCTACAGTACTACACTCATAGTTTGTCCTTCAATTTGGGGATCTTTTATTCAACAAGGTTTATGATGAGCCAATGACCTAATTCTCTTTTCTGGACTATTATGAAGTTAACAGCCACAAGCTACTGAACAAAGAGTACTGTTCCAGACTATTCAAATATTCAAAAGCAGAATTTTTTTCATCCTATTTTTTTAAACGTTTTTTTTTATAGTCCAGAAATTTTTCTAAACCTATACATATTTCAATAAGAACTTTAAGCCTAATACCTTACATAGAGCCCATATGTCTAAGGACCCTGGTTTTTTAACTTAATTTCCTTTAATTAAAGTGGAAAAATTCCGAGTAAGCAAATGAAAACCAATATTCTCTCAATAAATAGTCTATTACCTAAACAGACTAAAGAATTTTAACTTGAGTTGTTAATGTGTCATGTTTTGGTTATATGTGAAATATATATTTGCATTTTTATAGATTATGAATGTATTTAACAAATATATAGTGCTTACCACCACCCAGGGACTATTCCATGTGCTTAACAAAGATTAACTCATTCCATATTCAAAATAACTCAATAAAGTCTACTATCATCTTCATTTCAGCTGTGACAAAACTGAGGCTGAGAAAGGTTAAGTGTCCAAGGTCACATACCTAATTAAACCACCACAGTCACCCCGTTAAATGACTATAGTCACTACTGGCAAACATCTGGTAGAGTTATACCAGTTCTAACAATTACAGTCTCTTTCGAATCTTGTTTTCATTTTCCTTCTTATACAATCATGTATTGTCTGTTTTGACACATGTAATGAGTATCTGATTACCAAGAAAAACTGGTATTGACAAAAGGTCATTTAACATGAATCCACCTAAAACATAGGCTAAATTTTCACTAATTTTATTAATTTTTACTAATTTTAGTAAAAAGTTTTTCTAAAGTTTCATTGAGACTTTATCTTTAAAAAAGTGAAACTGACATCTATTCTCAATATAGCAAGTTAAAATTTTAATTCTGAATTCCTCTTTAAAAGAATAAAGAATGAATCAAATGATGAACTGATGACGAAGCATACTTCTTCTAAAAAGAAAAAAATTATGGTGGCACAATATAATTTTTCTTCAACGTACATTTGACCTGGCAGCATTATAGAAGTTTTATTTTGCAAAAAGATGTTCAAAAATTTCAACGATTTTTCCCAAGGGCTTTCCCAATTCATTCACATTATACTCTTTTGAAAGATACATCAGTCAAAAAACTCTTCCTAAATTTCTCTTTTTCATACTGATCTAACTCTACCAGGTCTTTATTTCTTAAGGATTCACAATTCCAACTTCAACTTGGAAAGGATTTGCCTTGTATTTGCACTTGTGTATCATCAGATCAATATCTAACAAATTGGCACCCACAAGCATAATACAATGGGCAACAACAGATGCTAGTGTTAAATAGGGTGTGATTTTTGATTGGGGATTAATTTTATAAGCGGTCACTATCAAAATAGTGAATATTTTGATTTTATATAAAACAACTTCTTTTTTTTTTTAACCAAACTCCAAACTGTAGGGATTTCAGGAAACAACTGAGCAGAATTTGAGGATTCCTAGTTTTCACTTTAAGGTGAACAACTCACTTTTGCTGATAGGTAGGAGGAAGCCTATTTGTGAATTTTGGTTCTTTTCCACATAAGTGTGATGAACTTTGTGGAAAATCATGAGAATTCTTACGTGATATGACATGGTCCATATACTGAGGCAAATAAGGAGCCCAGGCATCAATGGCTTCCTTCCGTCCCGCCTGCTCAATTCTCCTCAGTTCTGCCAGCAGCAGGGCCTGAGCGGCTTCTCTGACCTGAGAATACCACAGACGCAAGTGTAAAGAAAAAAAGCAAGTTCTAAAAACTAGAAAGTTCATAACGAAATACGGCTAGAAAACATAAAAAAACACATTTATTTACATGAGAAAAACTTCAGTTTCCAAAGCTTTTAAAACATTTTTGCACTTCAGCATTTTCAATTTTAAATTTCCATATAAACATCATTGCTAAAAGTCACAATTAGAACTATTAAATTTGTTTTCTCTTTTAGCCTGAAGAAACTTAATCTTATCTAGTGAATTTCTCTATATTATATATGCTAAATAGGTAGTTTACACAAACATATATATATATATAAATCCCTACAATTCATGTATACCTAAGAATTGCTTAAACAATGTTTTTCAACAATTAAGCAAATATTCTCCTGTGTAATGGCATTAGTTTTACAGAAGAAAAGTATTTTTCAAAATTATACCTTCTCAGTTTTTCTTCCAATGTGGTGCACCACTTTTATTTTGCAGTATTAATTTAGTTTTGTTTTATTTTGGCAAAAGTGCCACAGGCATGGGGTCAAAGAAGCTAGACCATTGTCAAGTGATATACCAATCAACTTATTAACAATTTATAATTTATATTATTTATAAATAATAGCATCTGATAAGATTTCAAATAAAAAACTTTTTAATTATGACTTACTTTGGGGTTTTTTAGTGAAGAACATTGGCCTGAGCTAACATCTGTGCCAATCTGCCTCTTCTTGCTTTAGGAAGACTGTCACTGAGCTAACATCTGTGGCAATCTTCCTCTATTTTTTTGTATGTGGGATGCTGCCACTGCATGGCTTGATGAGTGGTGTGTAGGTCTGCACCCAGGATCCAAATCCAAGAACCCCGGGCCACCGAAGTGGAGTGCACAAACTTAACCACTATGCCACTGGGCCGGCCCCTAATTACGACTGACTTCTGAAGTGAATTAAAATATTACTCAACGCAAAATCCTGAAAATTTTAGTATGCTGCAATTCCAATTGGAGTTGAGGGAAGGGGGACCAGGAAAGGGGCAAATATGTTATTTATATTGGGTAAGTTAAAAATCTTGAATGATACAAACTGCTACAGCTATATAAAAAAAAATGCCATAATAAACAAAAATCTCTATAAAACATTTCCAAGTCCCTTGTGATACTATATTCGAGGTAATATCTAATACAGAGTAAATCCATTGACACAAAATAATAGCTACCATTTATCCAGCTCCTACCATGTATCAGGCTCTGTACTTACTGTTTTACTTGCATTATCTTATTTGATCCTGACAGCAATCCCATGAGGAATGCATTATTATCCCCACTTCACAAATGAGCTTCAAACAGGTTAAGTAAATTGCCCAGGGTCACAAAGTTAATAATTGGCAATATGATATTTAAACCCAGGTCTCTTCTAATTCCAAAGACCTTCTTTTATTACAATATAGTACCTTCCATTGAACTATGGCTATTCACTTAGAATTTGATTGATGTGATTATAACTGAGCATGTGATTTTGGGGGAGCTGGGTATATGTATGTGTGTGTGCATGTATGTGTATGATCTGTATAGAAACCAATACTTAAGAAACAGTTCCATAAAATACATGCAACTTTTAATCAAATACTCACTAGATTAAAAAAAAGTAAACAAGTATGCAAGCTGAAACATTACTGTTTAGTATATAAACTAAGTAAAAAATCATGAATCCATATTTTCTATCACATAATAAACAAGTGACAGAAAATTAGATAAATATTAACCATTTTTGTTTCAAATTTACACTTGTCCAATGCCTTTTTAAGGTTTTTGTTTTCTATCTAAATCACCTCAATATTACCTCCAAGCATCGATCTTGCCATCTCCGAGCCAGCATCTCTAGAAGTGGAGGCCTAAACTTGTCCAATCCCAACAGGTCTGGCAGCATAACACAATGCATAGCAGCCAACTGACTCCATCCTGTTAAAATGTAATATATTACAAATACTTTAAACATTTTGGCATTCCCTAATTCAAAGATTTTTCTTTATGCAAGTATACCAAAAAGAAATAAAAAGGCGGATCTGCTAAATTATGTTATAAATGATTTCAAATTATTAGATATTTTGTGCAAAGAATTACACCAAATATGTTTCATCTCTAAATCATGTAACTGGTACTTATAAGAACTCTCAAAGTCTTAAAACAAACAAAAATAAATTTCCACAGAGTATATATGAATTCTACATGGAAAACACATTTCTAAACAGTTCCTCTAAAATAAAACATACATTCAGGGATGGGAAAGCATAGAAATAAACACATACTAGAGCCATAGACTTGAAACAACTTTCAGTGAAAAGGGCATTCACAGGTAACCAGAGACAGCTTCAAGTCACGTAAGGCCTGGCCATCTGTGTATTACCATCATGTCAGTCAACAGAGGGCCTGCTGACTGTCAAGAGGGCCTTTAACTAAGGTACTTATTGATCCCTTTCTCACAAAAGGAATCAGATATTTAATCACAATCATAACTGAAATAAGTAACATTACACCAATTTTGAGAGGAAAAATGCATTCAGCCATTCCACAAAATAAAAACCTGACAATTCAATGTTCAAAAGTCTTAAACATCACTAACTGTAAACTATGAGAATAAAAGTTATTTTTTCCAAAATTCTAAGCCACAATATGGAAATTGATTATATGAAGAAGACAAACACTGCAATATTTAAAAGTACCAGTATCCAGACATTCTCAAACAATCATTGCAACTCTGTTTTAAAGGTGTGCATATTACAAGGTGAATTACCTGTGATCAAAGAACTTTAGCAAGTCAGTGTTTTGAAATAAGCTAAACAGCAGTCTTCTAAAACAACAACAAAATCCCTACCAAAAACTCAAAATGATTATTGGGATTGTTAAAAGGGGGAGACTGAGTGAAAGAGAGACAAGCCATCTATCTGAAGATTCATCCTTTCAGCAAGAACTCATCAACTGAGAATATATAATTACATTATTTAAGGTGATGAGCACACACATTTTAGATTCTAACGTTTTCAAGAGATATATATACACACACACATACAAATATAAATTACTACCTAGTAAATTCTTAAAGTGTTTTAATGTCTCAAAAGTATGGGGTGTATTTATGAGCTAAATTTTAATATGATGATGATTCTCACCATAGTCCAAAGCCAAGAGCTTATTTTTGAATTACTGTCTTTCACAATAGCTTAATAAATATGACCCTAATTATTTTTTGCTAAAAACCAGCATTAACATACAAACCTTAGTCCAGTTCTATGACAGGGAAACCAAAGAAAGAACGAGTTATACTTCTAAGTACCCACATTTTCTTTCCAAAGGAGTGGTACTTAGAACAAGGACTTTGTACTTTACAGATATTGTACTATTCTTTCCATTTGAATGGACTGGTAATATTGCTTTTCAATGAAGAGTCAGAATCCTTCTAGGTTACACTTGAGATTATTGTAAATTTCCTCCTTTTTATAACCAGTGAAAATTGAGCCCACAATGAAGACAGTGGCTGTAACTCAGAGCTCACAAGTTCCGTTAAACTTCCAAGCATTATAAACAATCCTAGAGGGCTCTTGGGGAATAAAGGTTGGTGGACGTCATTCACATTTTCAAAGCTCCAAAAATATTCTCCACTAGTAAACTCCACAGGGATAATATGGTAGCCTAACTACACCTTAAAAATTGAAATTACGGATTTTTGCCTCAGCCAGAAACAGAAATAGTAAGGAGGATAAATAGATGAATTCCTATTAGCCTATAATCACTGATGCTAATGATCATTCTGAAGACTTTTCAAGTGAGAATGTAAATTAAGAGATCCCCATATCCCCCTCTAACCAGGGCACATGGTGTATAAAGAGAGCAAAGCGTCTGTCCCAGAGTAACGATACGTGTAAAATACATTGATTAGCTCTAATACCAGAGATCACATGGCAAACATCATCAGAAAAACCAGTCCACCTTTAATACGTACTTCACATCAAAGATGAGCATCTTTGCACTTCTTTAACAGCACACTAGACTACAGGAAACATGGCTGATATCAGCCAGGAGTAACATTACATTTTTGTAATTGGCCCTTATTAACATTAGCAAATAAAGTTATAAAATGGAAATTTTAGGATCTCATACATAACAAAGCAGATGAATGTATAAATTAGATAAAAGAACATGTCATATTAGAATAAAGCATAGATTGAAAGAAAGTTGTTAGAAAGTTGAGAGAGAATACCTTCATTTACTAAGAAACAGGTATGTAAAGCAGGAGTAGAAGCAGGGTCCGAGCCAGAGTGATCAGCATCAGACCGAGCGGAAACGACAGGTGCAGGAACTTGCAGAGGAAAATAGAAGAAATAAAGAGGAGAGAATTGAGGTACAGCAGTTTCTGAAAAAAAGCTCAGTATTAGTGAAGAATGAAAAACAAAGTTGGCAAAATATAGTAAATGTAGAACTGAAAAATGATGTTTTAATTAGAAGGGCATGATTGTTAAGGATTACAGCAGGGAAATGATATATTTTATTGAATAGCAATCACAATGTAGTTCTAATTCCTCTTAAAACCAAAATCTATTTAATATTACAGTTGAATAATGTGTCACCGAATACAAAAGATAGTTCTAAAACAACTAAGGCTACAACGAAATAATGACAGACATATCAAGAATTAGCAAAAGTGTAACTTTTAAAATGTGTCACATAATGAATTTTATGTTGATCTTAATACTGTCAATTATATTTCTTCTAATAATTTATTTCCTAATGTTATGTGTAAATTATTTTTTAGATCTCAAATCTGTATCTACTGAGATCATTTCAATTTTCCACATTTATTTTATAAAAGCACAACTTAAAATATACCAACTTGTAAAGAATATATATACTATACTTCACTCTTGTTAGAAGAATCCTAATATAGCTTCATTCTTCGGAGTTTAAAAAATATTTTTATGATCCAAATGCTTTACATTCTGAAAGTAACTATTGTGAATGTTATAATCCTTATGGAATAGATGTAACAATTCCCCTCCTCTCCCAAAAAAGTTATGTTACCAGGAAAATGTTTCAGCTTAAATTATCATATGAAAAGGCAAAAGGACCGTATGGTGCACACACTCTACAACTGGAGGTCAATGTTAAGATTTAGAGGTCATCATTTGACACTTCCTTCCTATAGAGAAATTACCATATGTCACGCACAAGCATCTTCAAATTAATCCTTCTCTTTTCTTCCATCATTGAACAGCAATAGGTTTGGGCTCCTGAACAGATTAAGCATTGTCTGCTGAATGATATGTTTGCTTTTCATGCAGTGAAGTTCTTTTGTAACTACAGGACAGCTGCATGAAAACAACTTTTCATAATTTCCACACGAATGCATAATAATGTCAATCAAGCACGTGTGAGGTAAACAGTAGAAAGAAGTACATGAACAGTAAGAAAAACCAGAAAATCCAACTCCACAAACCCTAAGAAGTACATCTTACACACACAAAAGTTTTATCGGGAAATTTTAATCTTTTTATTGTAACAGCGCTGTTTTTGTTCCTTATGAAATTACAATTATTTTATAATGTTATGCTCATGAAAGGAATAGAGCTGTTCTTAACTGTATATTTCATAAGATCTAAGACTTCTATTGTAAAGTAGTCTTGCAAAGAAATCCCAAATATTTCTATATTCCATTGAATAATTTTATTTTTCATTTTTCTTATCATTTTTAATTACAAATTCAGTTATTATGGCCTATAAAATATTCACTTCCCCATGCCAAAAGTTGGTAAGCCTTAGTGGCAAGGAGCAAATTTTCAGGTTTTAGATTTCATGCCACCAAAATTGTTGAGAAAGTTCCTCTGATGGTTTCCAGCAGTTGGGATTGCTCTATAATTTCACTTTATAAAAAAGAAGAAATTATTATTATCTATGAAAAGGCTGTGTTAACTGTCTGATTTTACCCTTAATTCTGAAAGGACACTACAATGACAGGGTGAAGAAATTCAACATAAATGAATAAAAGTTTAGGACCAAGTGATCGTTACCCTAGCTAGGTCAAATAAGTAGTGGGATTAAATGATAATATTTTCTCTAAGTCACAAGTCTAAAGGAAACTAGAAATGGTACTGGCAAAACTGTTAGAATAAGCATAATATGTCTTAATAGAATAATATTCAATATATGTAACTTCATTTCTAATGAGAAATAAACAGATTCTGGGTATTATAGTTTTGGAGTCCTGTTTAAATGACAGTGCATGTAGAAAAAGCCATTTATACTTTCTTTTAATAAATCCCATGGGCACTAAAAATCAAGAAAAATACTGTAACAGAAATCTAGGAATCAAATTTATTATGCTTTAAAAATCTCTGCATCACCACCAAAAATTACTTTATTTAGACTACCTCATAACTGAAACTGTAAAATCTAGAACTATTTTCGTAATTCACTGAGAATATTGAAATTAAATTCTGCTAAAGCTTTGAAAACTGTCCATATATAGAAAAATCAGCAATAGAAATTAGAAGAAAAAGTACCACTACCAAAATAAAAAGCTCAAGATTTAATGACAATAGACCTGAAGAAGTTACACGTGGCACTGAACATCTAAGATTAACACCATAAAACATAAGCAAGCATTTGATTTCTTAAAACAGAAAAGCTGCCATGCCAACTATAAATTTGCATCTCTTAAGGATTAATAAAACACAAAGGAAAACAGTCTCAGTACAGCTTCAAAATGGGGACAGAACTGACACAAGTCCTAGTATTTTACCTGGGAAAGTCCTTTAAGTAATTTTCCAGCTAGGAGCCTCTTCAACTGCTCACTCTCACATGAAAAGATAGATGAAGATAAACGAATGTGGGTGACAACATTTACATGCACACATATGCTCTGGTTTCTCTTTAAATGGCATATACACAAGTACTTCGTATTGTAATATCCATGGCTTCTGTTTTTGAACAGGTCTATTTCAGTCTCCATTTGAAATACGATTCTAAACTCCATTTTTCCCTATTGCCATTGTGATTTTAAAAATATATTGAGGACAGGGGCTGGCCCCGTGGCTGAGTGGTTAAGTTTGCGCGCTCCGCTGCAGGCGACCCAGTGTTTCGTTAGTTCGAATCCTGGGCGCGGACATGGCACTGCTCATCAGACCACGCTGAGGCAGCGTCCCACATGCCACAACTAGAAGAACCCACAACGAAGAATACACAACTATGTACCAGGGGGCTTTGGGGATAAAAAGGAAAAAATAAAATCTTTAAAAAAAAAAAAAAAAAATATTGAGGACAGAAAGTTAACATACTTTAGCTAACAAGTGTCCTCCACATATTGTTTAAACCCCTTTAGCCTCCTAGTACTTGAACTTAAATAGTCCTTTCAATACATTTTCTCAGAAGGAGAAAAAGAAAATCTAGGAAGTACAGAAAACCAAATGCAATGCATAAAAAAGTAAGTTTTTTCAAAGTTTAGCACTAAAACAATGAACATAATTATTTAACGATGAATCACTTTATGTAAAGTCATGAAGCTTCAAGAAAGAGAGGATAGAAGAGAAAACATGAAAAAATGAGAAATTAGGAAGTTTTTAGAGTCAATCATCACGCATTTAACATAAAGGCATTCCACACTGGGTCTGTCATATGAACAGAGATCTGAAAGTAACATTTCCCTTTTTATAAACTTCCTTTATGTCTACACTTTCATGTCTTAGGTAGATGGGCATTCTAGCCATGTTTTAAATCAACATGGAGTATTAGGATAAATCATTAATCAAACATTGTAAGGAAAAAAGATATCCTTAAAACACTATAAAAGAAGAACATAAATAGCTAAGGGCTATTCTTTGGGCTAAGCATCCCAAAGAATAAAACTGCAGGACCAGACAGCTATCCTTTTCAAGCTATTCCAAAAAATTAGGGAGGATGGAACACTTCCTAACACATTCTACGAGGCCAACATCACTCTGATACCAAAGCTTGGCAAGGACGAAAAAGGAGAACTACAGGCCAATATCGCTAATGAACATAGATGCAAAAGTTCTCAACAAAATTTTGGCAACCCAAATTCAGCAATACATCAAAAGGATCATACATCACGATCAAGCGGGATTCATACCAGGGTCAGATGGATGGTTCAACATCCACAAATCAATCAACGTGATACACCACATCAACAAATTGAGGAATAAAAACCACATGATCATCTCAATAGATGCAGAGAAAGCATTTGACAAGATCCAACAGCCATTTATGATAAAAACTCTGAACAAAATGGGGATACAGGGGAACTAGCTCAACATAATAAAGGCCATATATGACAAACCCACAGCCAACATGATACTCAATGGGCAAAAACTGAGCGCCATCCCCCTTAAAACAGGAACAAGACAAGGATGCCCACTATCACCACTCTAATTCAACATAGTATTGGAGGTTTTAGCCAGAGCAATTAGGCAAGAGAAAGGAACAAAAGGAATCCAAATAGGGAGTGAAGAAGTGAAACTCTCGCTGTTTGCAGACGACATGATCTTATATATAGAAAACCCAAAAAAAAATCCATCGGAAAACTAATAGAAATAATTAACAACTACAGTAAAGTTGCAGGGTACAGAATCAACTGACAAAAATCAGTCGCTTTTCTATACTCCAATAACGAACTCACAGAAAGAGAACTCAAGAATATAATTCCATTTACAGTCGTACCTAAAAGAATAAAGTACCTAGGAATAAATTTAACCAAGGAGGTGAAGAACTTATACAATGAAAACTATAAGACATTACTGAGAGAAACTGATAATGACTGAAAGAGATTCCTTGCTCATGGATTGGAAGAATAAACACAGTTAAAATGTCCATACTACCCAAAGCAATCTACAGATTCAATGCAATCCTTATCAGAAACCCAATGACATTCTTCACGGCAACAGAGCAAAAAATACTAAAATTCATATGGGACAAAGACCCCGAATTGCTAAGGCAATCCTGCGAAAAAATAGCAAAGATGGAGGTATCACAATCCCTGACTTCAAAATGTACCACAAAGCCATAGTGACCAAAATGGCGTGGTACTGGTACAAAAACAGGCACACAGATCAATGGAACAGAACCGAAAGCCCAGAAATAAAACCACACACCTATGGACAGCTAATCTTCGACAAAGGTGCCAAGGACATACAATGGAGAAAAGATAGTCTCTTCAATAAATGGTGTTGGGAAAACTGGACAGCCACATGCAAAGGAATGAAGGTAGACCACTATCTCACACCATACACAAAAATAAACTCAAAATGGATCAAAGACTTGAAGATACGTCGTGAAACCATAAAAATCCTGGAATTAATATTGGTAGTACACTCTTTGACATCAAACTAAAAAGGATCTTTTCAA